CTAGGCGAATTCAAGGTCACGTGACTATGTTTACATGTCAAGCTCATTGACGGATTTGTGTAATGATAATGATAATAATAATAAGGATAACAAGGATGATGATAATAATAAAAATAATGATAATGATAATGGTAATAATAATAATGATAATTATCATTATAATAGTAATAAAAAGTAACAGTAATAATGATAGTAATGGTAATAATAATGATGATTGATAATGATAATAATAATGATCATGATAAAAAGAAGAAAATGATAATAATAATAATAATAATCATGGTAATAATAGTAATAGGAACAGTATTAATATAAATAATGATAACAATAATAGTAACAACGATAATAATTTAAAAAATATTAAGATAACAATAACGATAATAATAATACTGTTCATAATAATGATAGCAACAATAAAGATAATGATCATGGTAATAATAATAATTGATAATGATAATGATAACAATAGTAAAGATAATAATAATGATAATGATAATAATAGTAATAATAATAATGATTGGGAAAATAATGATGATAATAATAATAATAGTAATAATAATAATAATGAGAATTATGATGATAATAAGCATGATGATAACACTGATAATGATAATGATGATGATAATAATAATAAGAGTAAATAGTAATAATAATAATAATGATAATGGTAATGATAATAATAATGATAATGGTAATGATGATAATAATGATGATAACGATAATAATAATGATGATGAAAATAGTAATAATAACAATAGAAAATAATGATAATGATGACAATAACGATAACATAATAATAATGACAATAATAATGATAGTAATATTAATAATAACGATGATAATGATGATAATAATGATAATAATGATAGTAACAATGATAATAAAGATAATAATGGAAAAGATATATATCTAGCTTACGGGAAAGCCCTTCTGTAACGAAAGCATTCCCAAGATAAACAAACGATACCGTGTTTATAATATTCATAGAAGATTCCATTGTTTGCAAGTGCAGAGCTAAAGACAACAGACACAGACCTTATACTAAGAAGCCCTTAGTGTTCTGATGTACATTTAATAGCCATGGTATTCATCTGTTTTTCCTATTAATCAATGCACATAAGAAAAAAAAAATATTATAGAAAAATGTTTCGGGTAATTCTTGATTTAACAGGTTTACCATAGCAGATAATATTCATCATGATTGTACATGAAACTGTTCATGTATATTTTTTGCTGTAACCTATCAAAAAAAAAAAAAAAAAAAAAAAAAAAAAAAAATAGAATAAATAAATAAATCATCATTACCGTCCAGACTGAAACAAGTTATTTTCTCACAGCATGTCAAACTAGAGGACGCTATCCTGACTCTGCAGCAACGACCCAGCACCTCCGTAGAAGACCGTTTCCGCCTGCTAAGCCTCTCCATGCATCTCAAGAACCACCCCGCCCACATCTCCATCGGTAGTGTGGGCGTGCTTGGCTCTGACGTCCTAGTTACAATGATTAACATCGCACTCACTTTCATGGCCATAGTGTATCAGTACCGTCCTGAGCCTGAATAAAGTCTCTTTCTTTCTTTTTTAACCAGTTTGTTTCAGTTACTTAGGGTGTGCCCTAAGGAGTTTTCGGTATTTACTAACATTTTACCTGCGCCTCACAGTGTTACAGCAGTTGTCTGTTTAACAAATACACTTTGCTTTCCCTTTCGTCCAGATGCCAATACAGGGCAATTCTCCTCAGAAGAAAGAAGGTTCAAACTCGGAATATAGTGGATATAGTACACCTACACACTCCAGGAGGTCTGAAGCCACTTAAAAAGTGTATCTTGTTTAGGGTCACCATATGAAAGTGCACCAGGGATCTCGTTTCCATTACAGCAGCTTGCCCAAGTCTAATTTCAACCAAATACATCACACTTCCCAATGAACCCTTTGTTGCTCGCCTAGCAAAACTTAGCTACGAGAATATACTCTTCAGTGCATCCACATGACTGATAGGACGTCTATACAAGTATTAATGTAACCTAGACTGAAGATAACCTTTGCAAAAGCGTTGAATATTACAGTATTCCAGTGTGAGAACAAAATATATAATATTCTGTTGTATTCACATAATTGTGGAATATGAAGCAAATTAATGAAAGATTTAGTGAATTATTCTGAGGTTTATTTAGTCAAGGTCATAGCTTGATCCTGTGAGCTAAAAAAAGAAAAGAAAAAACAAAATACTCATTGTGTATCCTTGAAGAAAATTAGATAATAAGTATGAGGGATAGAACGTTAAACAAATAGTAAAAACCTTTATCAGTCTAAACATATTAACAGTACATACATGTACTTACATACATATAAGCAGATATGCATACATACATGCAAACATGCATGCTTACACACATCCATCCATCCATATATACATACATACATACACACACATATATATATATATATATATATATATATATATATATATATATATATATAGTCATCCATTTCACTCTATTTATATGTGTGTATATATGTATATATCTATCTATCTATATATTTATATATCTATATCTATCTATCTAAATACACAGCCATCCATGCACACATATATATGTGTTTGGGTGCTTGTGTGTGTGTGTGCGTGTGTATGAGTGTATTCATTAATCTATCTATTTATTACTTGACTGATTCCCTTGCCTTTCAAACCCTATTCTTCCCCGCCCTAACCCTAACAGGAAAGGCCCTTCTCCCTAATAAACACGATATGTGCATAAAAGTCGCGAACAGTTGTTTGGCCACAGCATACGCCACGGGTGTTTCTTTCGTCTGATACCATTGATCCTTAAGCTTTTCTTTCATACGTGTCCTTGGCCATGAGTCGATCATGTATATTGTAGACTTTTATATTGGTAAAGAAGGGATTGATCAAAATGGCGATAATAAGTACTGTGATAATGTTATAGCAATAATGATTATTATTATTGAACTTGTTTCAGTTTTTGTTTAACTTTTCTTTATTACTACTGTACTGTATTATGTTTACATCTAACATCATGCATAGATAATGAGGGCTGAAGACTCGTCAATGTTATTGACGATATGAATATGCCGCGTATGCTATGGTCAATTTATACGTTATACACACACACACACACACACACACACACACACACACACACACACACACACACATATATATATATGTATATATATATTACTTATTCAATTATCCGGCCTTCTTGGGACACGGGATTTCAAGATGCGTGCGGATAATGCGAAATTCCGGATAATCGAAAATATACGAATAACGGCAGAAACCAACATAAATAAACAAGATGAGTGTTGTGAAAGTTTATTTCTAAAGTACACATTACAAACTAACACACTAAATACTCTTAAAATAGGAATGAATCTTTGGCTGAATGCGCGATGCCTCACGCTTCCTGGCGGCCATTTCCCGCAACTGGACCAGAGTGGGAGTGTTAGAAAGGGATGCCTCTGGTTGCCAGCGAAGCCATGTGAGACATTTCTCTCATTTTATCAATGTTCAACGTAAACAGGCGGAAATCTTCAGATAGGCTTATCTCTTGTTTATCTTTTAAAATGATGCCATTCACACATGTGTGATACTGTTTCGGGAACTCTAGACCCCAGTATAAATGGAATGCTTTTCAGGATACTGTTTCTCAAGCTGTGTTTATTTTTCATGCAAATATCTTTTCACTCTAAATTTTGACTGCTTGTTTGTACCTACTATTACTTCAATTTATTGCCACAAAATAATAAATAAATTCATACAGAAACAGGAATTGCAGAGCCAGGGCCCCCACAATAAATTTCAAGATGTCATTTTTAGTTTCTTTGCAAATTATGCTAAAATGAGCAAGGGGGCAAGGGGTGCAGTTGCACCCAATGTTGGCAAGAACAAAATTACTTATTTTAAAAAATGCAAGAAAAAAGCACCCAACATATCAAAAATTGCCGAAATTTTTTCATTAGGTTTTTCACATTTTTTACGGACCGGATAATCGAAGTCCGGATAAATGGTGGGTCGGATAATTAAATAAGTACTGTATATATATATAAACACATATATACTAGGTGAGTCTAACGTAGATAGGATAGTGGTGCCCGACTGCTGCCTTGTAGTTCAGTCCATGTATGGTCAAAGGCTTCGGGAGTCTACCCTGAGGAAAAATCCAGAGCCGGAGTCCCTAAGGCAGTCCGTTGCCGCTTGCGACCTCGTTCTGGCAACACTGTGAGGCAGAACTCAAATGCCAAAGTCGACATCGACTGATGGTGGCCGTTATATATATATATATATATATATATATATACATATATATATATACATATATATATATATATATTTATATTCATATATATATTCATTTATATTCATATATATATTGTGCGTCTTCTCGCCAATAAAAAACAAACTAGATGATAATCGTTTTCTTCATCCTACCG